CCCAGCCCCTAATACTAGAAATATTTTAATGACCTAAAACTATACCTAAGTAATCCTAAACTCTACATTAACTGTAAACCTAAGAATTAGGGCATTTAAGGGTGTTTTCAGTTGACGTAGATAAATCTTACAACTGGTCAAATATGCTACATTAGTGTAGTCGTTACTGTAAGTCTGCATGGCTCCCTCCGGCGTATACACCCAAGCAGAATTCCTTGTGGCTGCAGACAGCTGCACCCCAAGCACTCCCAGAGACTGCGGTCTCGCCGCTGCCCTTCTGCACTCAGACCTCACCCTAAGAGTTTTAGGGGACTAAGGGACAAAAAGTGAGCTCCCAGAAGATTCATTCATGAAAAGAGTCGTGCGAAGAGTACATGTTGATCCCCACTGAAAATGCTACGCACCGCCCATAGTTTTTGTTGTGCTACTCAGAGAATGAGCTGCATGTAAGCGGCTTTTTCGGGGTGGGGGGTGGGGGCTGGGGTGGTTTCCGGTATCGGGAACCGAACTGACGGCCTTGTGCTTGCCAGGCAGGAGCTGTGCCGCTGAGCTAAATCCCCAGCCCCTATAAGCGGCTTTTGAATGGACTGGAAGGCTGGAAAGTGGGGGTTTCAGAAAAATAAGCCTTGAAACTTGAGAGGTCTCTGCAGAAAGAATGTGGGACCCACTTCTTCTTCGCTATCTTTTCAGTCTGTTCCTCTACGTTTAAGCAAATTAACCCGGCATCCTCAGGCATCTCCTTTCCATCTTGTTGCAGCTAACAGGCTGACAAATCTGGAGAAACTGTGCTTATTTCGTTTGACGCACTTGCCTGACATTGGAGAAGGGATGGATCACATAGTCAAGGCTCTGTCGGGTGCACCCCGCGACCTCCGAGAAATACAGTTAGTGTCCTGCGGCCTGACTGCGAATTCCGTGCGCATGCTAGGTAATCATTTCCTGTGAGCTCGGTGGGAACGCGGGACACTCGGAGACGAATGCACACTGAATTTCTCAGGCGGAAACATTTTAATTCAAATTTAACAAGAAAAGATAATGAAGATGTCTAGGTGATATCCAGCCTGTTTTTAATGAGTTTTCTCCATGATCAGAATTAAAATTAATTATTAATGGATAACAGGAGAAAAGTATAAAATAGTTGAAGACATTATAATCTTAAGAGAAGATGAAGATGAGAAAACAAATATTGTTTGGGGAAAAAAATAATTTGCTTGAAATTTGCCATACTTCCTGTCATATAATTACTGCTTAATAAATATTTGGATGAATGGATAAATGGTTGTAAAGCAGAGGCACACGGATATCTTTAAATTTGCTCAGGCCTTGGATTCCTACCCAGCACCCTGTTAAAATGGAGTTAATGTGTATAAATATAACAGTGAAGTCTTTTGAATCCCCAGAGGGTATGTATATCAACTATGCAGAACTCTCTCCATATTTTTGAATAAGCTACTCAAAAATTTAAGACTTTGGAAAAACATTGTGTAACCTTTTAAAATGAGACTATAAAACTGCTGGGAGGCCAGGAATGCTGGTGCACACCTGTAATTCCAGCACTCAGAAGGCTGAGGCAGGAGGATCACCATGAGTTCAAGGCCAGCCTGGGTTACATAGTGAGTTCAAGGATAGCCTTTACTACACAGTGAGACCCTATCTCATAAAGGAAGATAAAACAAACCTGCTAAGAGCCCATAAAGATTTCTTTTTTCTTTTTTTTTTATTGTTGTTTTTTTGAGGCAGAGTCCCATCATGTTGCACAGGCTGGCTTTGAACTCATTTATGTAGCTCAGGTTGGCATCAAACCCATGGTGACCCTCCTGCCTCAGCCTTCCGTGTGCTGGGATTATAGGTATGTGCCACCATGCCTGGCTCCATAAAGATTTCCAGGTAAACCATTAATATAAGTTTACAGGTAGAGAACCCTGTGGTTGGAAAGGGATAGATGACTATTGGGAACACAGGAATTGTGAGTGCAGCTTACAAGTAAAAATAAGAAATGTATATTTTCTTGCAAACTTGCCTGATTTTTTAAAATT